AGAAAAAGCAAGATCTAACTACCTGCTGTGTATATCATTTAAAAATAAAAACAGATAAAATACGAAGTAATAGAAAAAGATACACCATGTACACACACTAATCTTAAGAAAGCTGGAGTGGCTGTGTTATTGACATCAGAGAAAATATATTTCAAGGTAAGATGTATTACCATAGATAAAGAAAAACATTTTATACTCATAAAGGGCAAAACATCAACAAGACGTAAAAATCATAAATGTGTATGTACCTAGTCACTGACAAAGGCTCTCTCCTTGACCAAACTTTAGTTAGAGTCCTTTGAGCCCTCTTCTCACCCAAGTCTTGACCTTGACCTCCATCCTTGCAGGGCCTGCATAGCCCAGTTGTAGCAAGAATCCCTCCATCCTTGATGTCTCTTCCTATGTAATTTTCCATCCCCTGACCTCCTCCTTTCTGCTTGTTGGCTATAAATTTCCACTTGTCCTTGTATATCCCTATTGTGATAGTCTTTGATACCTAGTATCATGATAGTCCTGATTAAAGTCTTCCTTACTGTTTTAAAAAAAGAGAGTAATTTTGTTTTTAACATCACACAACTTTAAAATGCATAAAGGAAAATCTGACATTACACAGGGAAAAGATACATCAACAATCATATTAACAGTTGGAAACTTTAACACTCCTCTCAATAACAGTCAACAGATCAACCAAACAAAAAAAAATCAGAAAGGATATAAATCTGAACACTATCAACTACCATATGACCTGATATTTATAAAACACTTTACCCAACAAATACAGAATATATTTTCTTTTAAAGTGCATATGAAACATTCACTAAGACCTACCATATGGTGGACATAAACCATCTCAATAAATGTTTTAAAAAAAAGCACCCTGAAATCTTAGACAGTATGCTTCTCTGACTACAGTGGAATTAAGTTAGAAACCAGTAAAAATAAACATCTAGATTACCTCCAAATATTTGGAAATTGCTTCCAAATAACTGATGGCTCAAAAAAAAAAAAAAAAAACCCACAACAAATACTAAAAATAGTTAAACTTCCCACAACAAAGAATTATCTGGCCCCAAAATTAAGTAGCGCCAAGGCTGAAAAACCCCTGAGCTACACTAACAGTGTTGTGTAGATAAATCAATGGAACAGAATAGAGTCTAGAAACAGACTCACACTTTTATAGTCAACTGATTTTTTGACAAAAATGCCAAGGTAATTCATCAGGGAAAGGAAGGTCTTTTAAATAAATGGTGCTAAAACAACTGGATATCCATACGGAAATAAAAAATAAACTCAATTCCTACCTCACATCCTTCACAAAAATTAATTCACGATAGATCACAGAACTAAAAGTAAAAGCTAAAACTGTAAGACTTGTTAGGAGAAAATCTTTGCAACCTAAGGTAAACAAAGATTTCTTAGGATACAGAAAACAATAACCATAAAAGAAAATTTTAAATTAACCTATAAATTAAATCAAACTAAACTAAAAAATTAAAAACTTAAGCTCAAATTGGAAGACAACTACAATTTGATAATAAAAAGACAAACTCAATTAAAAAATACACAAATGGCCAATGAACACACAAAATTGTGCTTGATGTCATTAGTTATCAGGGATATTACATATCCCTGTAAAACCACACCTATACACCTACTGGAACGGCTAATATTAAAGATTGATATAACCTATTGTTGAGAATGTGGAACAACTAGTACTTTCATGTAAAATAGTACATATACCTTGGAAAACAATTTGGAATTTTCTTAAAAAGCTAAATGGACAATAGCAATTTCACTCTTGGGTATCTACCAGTAAAGAAATAAAGACATGTCCTAAAAGGGAATGGCACATTCGTTTCACCGTATATTTATTCACAATAGCAAAACCCTGGAAAGAAACCAAAAATGGTGCTATCAATAGACTATTAATCATTAATAAAAACACATGAACTACTAATATATTCGACATGGATGAATTTCACAGATATTAAGACAGCAAAAAAAGCCAGACACAAAAAAGTACATACTGTATATAACAGGCAAACTAATACTAGGTGAACAAAAAGTGAACAATGGTGACCTTGATTGAGGATGCTGAATGAGGATATAATTTTAACTTTTCAGATGGTTATTCAGTCTTTTGAAAAAGGTCTATCTTTTCCCCAATGATGTCTCCTTCATAACATACTTTACATTCTATTTTACTTCAATGATCTGTTAATGCCCCACTAACTCACTGCTTTGATTACAGAGACATAATAGTGTGTTTTCCTATTTTCTAGGGCTAACCAACACACCGCCATCCCAAGCAGTTGTTCTATCTTTTCAGTTTTCTTGGCTATCTTCAGCACACACTCATTCCCACTCCATTATAGTCAATTTGTCTAGCTTCTGGAAAAAACAGTGATTTTTACAAGTAGATTAGCATTAAATTACTGTGAAGGGAATCAACAAATTTATGATAGAGTTATCCTATCCAAGGACATGCGATGTTTTTCCACTTGTTCAAGTACATTTTTGTATTTGAGAATATTTTAAAGTTTTCCTCCCGTAAGTTTAGAAAAAGAGAAAATTGTAACCTTACTGTACACCATTATAACACTCTCATTCAAAGTCACTATTGTTACATTTACTCCTAGGTATTTTGTCTCTCTGCCACTATAATAAATGGTATTCACTTCCACATATTCTAATTGCTTATAATTGTCTATATGAAATGCTACCAATTTTCACATCAGCAAATAAAAGCTATTTTCATAAATTTTACATTCTATTTCACTGACTTATTACTGTACATTAAATTTTTTTCTTGACTTGTTCTGACTTTTTCCACATATACTTTTTCAATTCTTATGCCTCTAATTGCCCCCTACCCCTTGCCTTACAGTGCTTAATACCCTCAAAAGAAACAAAGCAGAGATACACATCTTTGCCTTGTCCCTGACTAGTGTGAATGTACCTGTTATTTTATTAGTTTTGGGGGAGAGAGGGAGAGAGAACTTTTAACAGGTCTATCAGTTCCTATGTTATTAAATGTTTTACCTGGAACAGGTGATGAATTCTGTCAAGTAGGATAAAGCCTCCTTGACCTGTTCTTCGCTCTAATGATACAACAACTGTGATGCTGATTTTTGAAGTTCTTCACTTCTCTAATTATATTATGTAGCTTAAGTACTTTTTGTTTTTTTTAATCAAGAGTCAATGCTGAATCTTATCAGTGTCTTGACAACTAAGCAGATAGTTTTTACTTCCTCTGACCTACTAACATGATGAAATAACTAAATTAATAAAGCACATAATACTGAACTACTCTTATATTCTTGGGGTAAATCTTACTTGAACATAGTATATTCATTGCTGTATTTTATTTTGAACATTTAAATGAAGCTGGTTTACAGGGGAAGTTGAGTTTGTTTTTTTTTTAACGTTATCTCTAGTCAGGATTTGTTATCATAATGTATTCGACTTAAAAATCTGGAAGGTTTTCATACTATGTTCTGGAACAGTAGTAAAACTATCTGTACTGGAACTATCTGTTCTTCGAGGTTTCAAAGATATCTGTAAAAGATTTCTGACCTTTCTTTTGGGCAGCAAGTTCTCTGACAATTTTTCCAATTTCTTGATAAGGCTATTGAGTAATTTATCTACCTATTGGAATTTTCCCTCCTCTAAGAATCAGCTCTTAGATTATTTACCCATTATCATGATTTAATTAATCTCCTAATATATTTGTTTAGATCCTAATTCCTTTATTTTCTTGAAAATATATGTTGTTTCTTCCCCAACACCTTCAATTATAAATATAAAAGAAAATCAAAAGATCAAGAAATTTCCAAATGAGTAAAGATTCATACACAGTAAATAAGACCTACATACCTCCCAACTCAATTTGGGACAAAGACTACTTTTAATTATTGCTTTTAAAGGCTGAGAAACAGGCCGGGCGCAGTAGCTCACGCCTGTAATCCTAGCTCTCTGGGAGGCCGAGGCGGGCAGATTGTTTGAGCTCAGGAGTTCGAAACCAGCTTGAGTAAGAGCGAGACCCCCATCTCTACTAAAATTAGAAAGAAATTAATCGGACAACTAAAAATATATAGAAAAAATTAGCCAGGCATGGGGGCGCATGCCTGTAGTCCCAGCTACTCAGGAGGCTGAGGCAGAAGGATCACTTGAGCCCAGGAGTTTGAGGTTGCTGTGAACTAGGATGACGCCATGGCACTCTAGCCCAGGCAACACAGTGAGACCCTGTCTCAAAAAAAAAAAAAAAAGCCGGGAAACATTCAGCATATATTTTGAACAAAGCTTAATTTTATTTATTAGGTACATGGCAAAAGAAAAGATGAAAAAAACTGAAGTAAAATTACTGACACATTTGCATTATTCCACAACTTATTTTTTGAAAGATTCATTTTATTTTAAACTTCCAAATGTCCCAAGTTAAAGAAATTTGTATTGCATGTCTAGAAATTCTATGCTGATCAATGATTTTTCCCATTTTTGCTTGCTTCTACAGAAGTTATGTAACAGCTTATTCTAAAACAAATTTAAAACCTTTACAAGAAAATCCAATAAAGGAATACTAATGGGATAATGCCTTAAACTGATACCAAATATGACATACAAAATGACATAATTCCGTAATTTAATTTTTATATCAAACTACAGGTTATAATTACTAATAACTTACTACGTAAATTAAGGGCTTCTAAAATTTAGCATTCGTAAATTAAATAGGGACATTAATAGAATTTACTGAGAACTCAAATTCTGTACCCTACTAAGAAATTCAACTGCCAACATTATGCCTAACAAGAAGCTCCCAATGTATTGTATACACAATTACAATTTCCACAATTTTTAGGAAACATTTTTGTAACCATTGTATCATCTGTGTTGTTTTAACTACAGTTTTAACTGCTGCTATTCTTTATTAAGAATTTTATTATTAGTGTTTATTTTCCTTAATTGTTTGGTTGTAAATTTCATCCTCACTGGAATACAGATAAAGAGGCAAGCAGGCCTTTTAACCCAGCTAAAAAAAAAAATCAGGCTATGGTTAAACAAGTCAGAGAACCATTGTTTCTGGATATACTTCATAAGCATTAAAAGAAATACTATGAAAGGCCACATTTAGTAATTTATATGCTACAAGGAAATATACTATATGTACCATATACAAACACTACCATTCACTAGTTACCTAAAAATTCTAAAAAATACTCTTATAAAGACATAGTTTAAAACTAGGATAATTAACTAATTATCACAGAGCTTTTTAAACAGATTTGGGGGGAGGAAAGGGATCCAACAAGTAAAAAACAACTTACCATTTGACAGCTAAATTCTGTACCTCTCCATTTTTATCTTCCAGTAACTTCAAAATCATTTTCACTACTTTCCTTTCACTATCATCATCCAACTTGATGGAATCTTTCTGTAGTTCTGTCATCAAATCATTTGTGGCCATAAACCTATCAAAAAATTGAAATTTGTTGATAACTGGAAATTTTAAAGCATTAATAAAAAAATTAATAAAAAAAGAATGATTTTTCAAATCTGGTGCTATTTCATTCACTCAGCAGGAACACAGTATTTACAGAACTCATCCATGTTTTTAAGTGATCATAAATATCCATATAAAGAGATATTTTAAAGTCCTGATTTGTTCTTATATCAGGTACTATTACCCAAAATTATCTTCCCCAGGTAGGTCTTTATTCCAGATTACTAATAGGACCTACAGTGAGCGCTCTCTCATTCTAATTAATTCCATCACTACTGTTAGGGAAGAAAAGTTACTCTTTACTTTTTCTTTGCATGAGATTTGAATTTTATCTAGGAAACCCTAAAGCACAAACATTAAGAACACCTTTCTCGCATAATACGTGTGTTGCTTTGGGGGTCGCATATTACAAATTACTGTAAAATTTCCAAAATACAAATTCTTACCTCCCACCCCAACTCTCATCATTAGAATATATATTTTCGAAATGGCTAAGTGGTGATTCTAGAAAGTTGCTCCACCTGACATCCACCCTCCTCCCTTTAAGAACCACTACAAAAGGAAGATTGAACACTGAAAAGCCTGACAAAAACCCAGACTGATCAAGTGTCTAATATGAGATTTAAATGAAAAAGCTGAATAGAGGATAAAGTAAATAGTCTCACGTAAAATAAGGTAAATAGAGTCTCAGATTTTCCCCCATATGCCTTATAAAACAATTCAATGTTTTGAAAGTAATTTCTCAGAATATGAGATTATCACATTCAAATAAAGCCCTAAAACCACTTTAAAAGCCAAATGAACTTTCCCATAATTCTAGGCTCCCTTCCACCTATGGAAATAATCCAACTAAACTAACTACTTAACGCCTTTTTCTTTTATTTGAACTAGATACAGCCTGAGGAAAAATCTTTTATTTTATACAGAAATGTTAAAATCTATGTTTAAATTTAAAAAAAACAACTATTGGAGCTGAACTGATAAAACAGCTATGGAGATAGTCCAACAACATGGACAATAAAACTATGCAGTAAAGGTCGACAAAAGCCAACTTACTAATTCAGCAATTCGCTACTTACATGATAACTTTAACCAGTACTAAAACTTTTCATTTAATACAAAAATGTTAAAATCTATGTTTAAATTTAAAAAACACAACTATTGGAGCTGAACTGATAAAACAGCTATGGAGATAGTCCAACAACATGGACAATAAAACTATGCAGTAAAGGTCGACAAAAGCCAACTTACTAATTCAGCAATTCGCTACTTACATGATAACTTTAACCAGTACTAAAACTTTTCATTTAATACAAACTTTTAAACTACATGCAGCATGTAGTTCAATTCTTACCAAGTTTTACAAAACTGCTTATAAAGAAAACCTTATATTTACACTGAGGCAATACAAGATAAATTAAGCACGTACTTTTTAAAAAATATAGCTCTCCTATATTGGAAGCCCCTCCTCATTTTGATACGATGACAAAACAAAATTAAAACCACATAATTTTCATTAATATTCTGAAAAGTGAAAAACTGCATAGCAGATTAATTCAGGTACTTCAAAGCACTGAAAACAATCTTAACCATTTTACTTGAATAAAATCCATTAAATAATCATAATAGTTATAACCTCTAAGGATCACTGCAATGCCAGTTATCTGCTTCAAGAGGAAACAGTGATCATCAATTTAAGTAAAAAAACAGATACTCTCAAGTAAAAAGTTGTTGTTTTATGGTTCTGAGTGATTTTACTGGTAAACAGATTCGTTCCTTTATTCATCATTCATATATACTCACTGCCTACTATGCAAGAAAGCCTGGACTAAGAACTAAGGACAGACATAAAGGTGAATAACCCTTGGGCCCGATCTCAAAGAGGTATTATAATAAAGCCTACTTAGTCCCTTTCTCTTAACTTCTTTAATGGGACAAATTTTTAAAAACAATACTCAAGAGCATATAGAAATTATTTCACCAAAGAACTGACTGCTAGGTTGGATCTCAAAAGATGAATAGGCATTTGCACAGGGAAACCTGGTTTGGGATTTAATTTTTTTTTTTTCCAGTGGTGACAGTGGGGAGGGGTAGAGCATCTCAGAATAAAGAACTAAGTAACAGTTCAGTATGGCTGGAGCATAGAAACCTAATGAAGAAAGAAAGGGAAGATGATGGAAACGTAGGCTGAGGTCAAGATGAGAAGGGCCTTATATATTTACTCAATGTGTAATGAGAACCTACTACCTACCAGGTACTGTACTAACTGTTGTGGCTACAAGGGCTAGCCAAAGCAAACATAATTCTTGCTGTCTTAGAACTTATATTACGGTCTAGTAAGAGACATATTAATTTTAAAAATTACATATATGAGTAAGTACCTATGTAATTATGAACTGAGATAAATGCTATGAAGGAAAGGAATGTGTCATCAAAAAAACAACAGTATAGCTATGTAAACTGACCTAGACTGGATTGGGGGTTGTGCGTCAGGGAGGACAGATCCAAAGAGTGGGTAGAATCATGGGAGCAGGGGAGGAATTGGTGCCAGGCAAGCAAGGGCCAGGAATTAAAAAGATTTGTAGACCACACCTTGATTTTAGTCTTTACAGGTTTTATTCTAAGAGCAATGGGAAGCTACTGAAAGATATCTTGGGCAAAGATGGGGAACAAATGGAATAATCAGATTTGCATTTCAGAAACATTACTCCACCTACACTGCAGACCACATTTTGGAGAGAACCACTCTTCATTCATTTAGCCAGACTGAACAGAGACCAGTTAGAACTACTGCAGCACTCTAAATGAGAAATGATGGTAGCTTGAATGTTTTGGAATCAATGAAGACAAAATAAAAAATGGACACACAGTTGATCCTCATTATTCACAGATTCCTATTTGTGAATTTACCTACTGGTTCAAATTTGTAATCCCAAAATTAATACTGCCCATTTCTTAAGTCATCTGCAGACAAGGGCAGAAGGGTGAAAACTTGAGTCATCCAGCACATACAATGCTAGCTGCGGTGGAACAAGGCAACACTCTGCCTCCCTAGTCCCACCTCTCATGCTGTAAACAAGCATCCTCTTCTCAGCCTATTTAGTGCCCTGTTTTTCACATGCTTGTGCTTTTTGTTGACGGTCCTTATTGTTACGGCCTCCAAGCATAGTGATGATGTGCTGTCTAGCATTCCGAAGTGAAAGAAGGCTGTGATGTGCCTTCTGGAAGAAATACGTGTGTTAAATAAGCTACTTTCAGGCATGAATTATAGTGCTACTGACTGTGAATTCAATGTTAATGAATCACCAATGTATATTAAATAAGGTATCTTTAAACAGACACACATAAAACAAGGTTATGAACTGATTAACTGGTGAGAATACTGTGACAAGGGGTTCACAGGAATCTAACCCTGAAATTCCTCAAGCAATGGTTCAGTACTTGCTAATTCAGTGTTCATGATGACTTCATAGCACATAACTACTGCAAATAATGAGAACCGACTCTATTTGAACTTTATGAGTCAAAATTAATAGTTCTTCAAAATGGATCAGACATAGGGATGGTAAAGGATGAGTTAGTAGGAAACAAGTAGGAGGAAAACCACAAGACCTGGGTGTTACAGTCAGTTGATATATCCTTGTCCAGAGTCTTAATGTCCCTGTGCAACCACTGTCACATCAGATGGTTCAACCACTATCTTATAACAGAAGAAAGAATTAACTCTGGTTAAACTACAAACTATATCGAATGGATATTCCTCTGATCTTAATCAACAAAATCTCAACCATGGTAAAGGTATGATCATAAATTAATGTCCTGCAGACCAACTTCAGCCCAAAAGGGGAATGGATAAAGAAAAAATAATAGCCCCTGCAGTCCAGAAACTGATCTGAGGCTCAATGTTATTACAAATTGATCTAATGCTTAACAGCTAAAGCATATTGTTTTTGTGGACATATACAATTTCAGAACATACACATCAGACAAGGACACTGAGCAACACCAAATATAAAACACCAAACATATCCCTCCTCCAATTAAATGAGCAACTGCTGTTACTTTACCAATTATAGCTTTATCCCCACTTAGGTCTGCTCTTCTTATAAAACTTAGTAAGATGCCGAATCATAGAATTGCCCTTACTTTCTACCGCAACTCACTTTCTGGATTGACAACATTCAATCTAAAGCAAAGCTCTGCTTCCTTAGACCCCTTCCTACAACTACCCAAATAAACAGGTTCCTTCTAACACCTCTTACTGAGAGGCCCCAGAGTGTGTGTTATCCTCGTTGCAATGAATAAACTCAACTTGTGTCAGGGCTGCTTACATAAGAGAATTTCAAGGAAAAAGTGGTAAACAGTGCTTAAACATCAAATAGATGAACAAAGGAAATATCCACTAAATCAGTTACATTAGGAGATTGTTAGGGATTTTAGGGAGACCAGTTTCAGTGACTCCAAATGGGCAACAGCTAAGAAGTTTGGAGTTTATCTTGTAGTCAATGGGAATTAGTGAGGGAGGCACTGATCTGCTGGGATATTTAGGAAGAAAATTCTAATGGCTAGAGTGAACAACAGACTGGATTAGAAGGAGGCCTGAGAAAGCAGCAAAACTAATTTGAGAAATACTCATCAGGAGACTAAAGGAGAGAAAATAGATAGGACATGGGTGACAGCAAGGTTTTCTGCTTGGGATTTTCAGTGGATGCTAATTTAACAGGCCAACATAAGGATAAAGAAGGCTTAAGGTAGAAAAAGGGGAAAATAAAAGGTAAAGTTTCAGGCTCCTATGGGATTCCCAGGTTGATATAACCCGCAGGCAATGCCATCTCATTCATTTATTCAACAAGTATTTTGGGGTACCAGCATAAGGAACTGTACTCTGCAAACACAGTGATAAACAAAACATAGTCTAGAACTTACATACCTGGCTTATTCCACTGGACTGATTAAGGGGAGAACTTA